GGGGGAGGACGTTGTGGAGAGAGTGGTGCCACGGGCGGACACTGAGGTTGTGTAGGGTGGGCGATCGGCAGCGGATGTTCATGTGGAGGGCTTGCAACAGGCGGTGGATGAGGCTGTGCAGGCAGGACGGCGGCGAGACAAGGGTGTGGGTGATGCACGATGTGTGGTCCGGGAGACAACGACGGGTCTAGTCGTTCCGTTCTTGGGCCTGCACTTGGCTCAGGGCCGACCGTCGCAGCCGGTGCCCGTGGCAGTGCATGGTGTGCCGCCGCCCGTTATCACGGATTTGGGGTCCGAGCCGGTGGTTGCGCCACCGCGTCTTCCTAGTCACTTTGCTTCGCAGGAGGTCTGCCGTCCTTTGGATGCAGACGAGTTGGCAAGAGAGGCTGTCTGCGATGTGACTCGCTTGGACCGGCGGGTCTTTGACCAGAGGCTACAACATCCACCATGGCAGGCGATTCCTCCAGTTCCATGGGGTCCTGCATCGCCGGTGTGGTCTGGGTTTACCTCCACCGGAGCACGTACGGCGGGAGATGTTCCAGGGGTTTCAGGTGGCGTCGTGGATTCGGCGCCACGTACAGGAGACATGCCACCCCCTCCTCCTAGACCACCTGTAGTTGATCCGTCATCGTCGCCCCTTGGCAGAGGCTCTCGATCTCCACACACGCCTGGGAGGTCTAGAATTCAGGACACTACAGCCGTTGTGGGGGACGTGAGTGAAACAACGTTGTTCGAGAGGACAAACATAGATTTGGATTCCACCCGCCGTGTCACGGAGCACACTGCACGTCTACAGCCGGGTTTGGGACCCCACGACGGCAGGATGCCTGGAGCGAGGGAGGTGGCAGCATCAGGTTCTGAGCCTCAGCGAGGTCGCGACAGAGTAGTGTCCGCCGATAGCTTGGAGTACGCTCTGACGGCAGCGACGCGTGCCGTACATGAGCACACATCATTGCTAGCGCGGAGTGCCTCCTCGTCCACGCCCCGTGCCCGCAGAGGGAGGAGATGCACTTGGAGAGACTTCGGGGGCAGAGGGGTTGGGGATGCCTCGTGGATCGCGCCGTGAGCAGATGGTTACAGAGGCTAGTGAGAGGGTTGTTGTGTTGAGGAAGGCAGGAGCCCCTGTCACCATCGAGGAGGACGATCCTGAGACAGATGTGGCAGTGCGGGAGGAGGATGAGGACTATGAGGGCGAGGAGGAGGGAGAGGAGGAGAGCGGGAGAGGTTCCGATGGTGACTACGACCACGACGAGCACGAGCCCCCACCTCCCCCACTGAAAGGTGCAGCCACTCGGCGCGCTGCGCAAACTTCTTCATCATCACGAGGGAGGAGGAGTTCGACATCCGGCACGCGAGGGGGTACGAGGAGACATAGCGAGAAGGGGAAAAAACGTCGTTGATTGATGAGGCCAACACTCATTTTTTCACCTGCTCGCACTGAGGTTCGTCATGTTGTGCGGTCCTAGTTTTTTTTGTCGTCTCGTCTTGTCTTAATGTTGTTAGGCTCTCAGTGGTTGTGTGCGTGCAGCGTGCTACAGATGTATTAGATGATGTTTCCTTTGTTTTCGGTGTGTATGATTTTGGTACCAGTATGGTGTTCGTAGAGTAGCGTTGTACCAGTAGGGTGTTCGCAGAGTAGCTACGACACGACTTGTACACTACAGTTTCGTTTGTTTTTTTTCGACATGTGGTACCACTGCCTTAGCAGTAGCCTGTAGGATACATTGCATATGTTGCATTTTTCATTTCTGTTTTCAGTGAGAGGTGCTTTGCGTCGTTGAGGATTTTTAATGCTCAGTACATTTTTCATGTACAGTTTCAGTTTCGATTGATGCTCGTCTTGGTTGGCGCGCGTGAGCGTTCGTGACCATTTTCATCTGGTGTGATTTTATATATTTCATTGTTGTTATCATTTGCAATCTCATTTCCCTTGTTTGGCGCCGTTTGTTTCTTGTACAATTCTACTTTAGTTTTTTGCGTGAAGAGTTGCTTGTGTGCTTGTTCTTTCTTTTTTTCTTTTCTGTGTTGATTGTTGAATCAAA